AAATTCATAACGGAGACTGCTACAACTTTTGCGAAAACGTCAGGCAAAATTTCGATTAATCATAGCGATCGTGATTGCATTTTCTCGAAATAATCTGACGGAGGTCCAACGGCAGGCGAAACAGGCAGAAATTTCGGGCAACATGCAGGCAATCAGGCGGGAAACTGACATTGTAAAATTACCAATTTAAGAATAACCGGTTTAGGAATTTTAATGGGAATGCTAGAATCCATAGGCAATAAAGGTGTGATTTCAATGTAGAATAACATCATAGGAATCGATAATTAATTAACAAATATCTATATAACCATCTATCTACCCGTAGTTACACCTTGAACTCTTAAAGTGTCTGAGTATCCATAAAATCATATATTAGTAAGTATATTTATATCCATAAAGTGCACTTGCGTGTGTGTCTGAGCGAAATACATGTATCATTGCAAATGCGACCAGGAAATACTATCATGTAAGCCTCCCGAACAAAGGAAACCTAATTACATCAAGTTTAAATGTAAACATACATGAAGTGAAACAGCTTGTGGTTATATACACGGCCATTAATCCTTAACTTCGAACATGTGTTCGATTATGAGTTTGTAATCAGTTCATATATTTTTCACTGAAAATACTAAAGAGATTATCAATTCTCATAATGAAAATAATGATACTATTACTGAACCTACTGTGTCCATGACCTGGTCGCAGGATAGATCGGTTATTGAGTCTCGAATTTATCATCAGAAGGACAGGCGATAAGATTAAGCACAAAGGGAGAAAGAAAGTGAGACAGAAAAGAGTAAAATACTGCAGTATATAGAAAAGCGTTAAAGTTAGGAGTGAAGTGTATAGAAAGATGAAGATGGATATATAAAAAAATAATATCCAGATGAAGGTGAACAAGTGAATGGAGGGAACGAGGCAAATCAATAAGCTCTCGCCGCTCTTCTTCGTCCTCTCCTTTTACCGTCACTCAAATTTAAGAAATAAGGCCCAGGAAACTAACAAAAAACAGTACTTTTAATGAATTCTAAATCAGACAGCGACGAGGGAACAATGTTGGGAAACACCCACATTCAGTTGGATAAAACGGATTGGATGGAATTTCTATTCTGTTGGGAGACCTTTTAACATGTCTCTAACGTGTCTGATGGAACATTTAAGAGAGCCTGGTAATGGATTGTTTGTTAATGGTGTAGTGTAATGGTTATTCAGCCACTGCAGTTTCTTGGAGTATCTAAGCAATCAGACAAATTTTCTTTCTAAGTGATTAGATGTCAAATATTGACGAAAGAGGATATTTCTGTCTTATCAATTAAGGCTTACATTAGACAACGACGGCAATACCAATTTAAGATAAGTAAGAACATACGGGAAAACCTAAATTGGTAATTAATACATCAGTCAGTTTAACATGTATTTACATTTAGATCCAAAAAAGGAAATTAAAACGCATTTCCATATTGCAGAAACAATGTGTTTAGTTTTCTAAGGTTTCACTTCCCAATCTTATAGTTTTTTTTCAGTTGTCCTTCTCTACCATTTACAAATATATCAATGCGTTCGTCGTGTTGTTTTGAGAATTTAGAAAACTGATATAACGCATGTGTATGTACGCACACACACATAAATATACATTCACACACACACACACACACACACACACACACACACACACACACACACACACACACACACACACACACACACACACACATATATATATATATATATATATATATATATATATATATATATATATATATATGTTTGTGTGTCTATATGAATGCATATGTACATTTATCATCCACACACACACACACACACACACACACACACACACACACACACACACACATATATATATATATATATATATATACATATATATATATATATATACACACATACACACATGTATGTGTGTGCGTGCGTGCATTACACACACACATATATGTATATATATGTATATATATATGTATGTATGTATGTATATGAAAGATGGAATTATGCAATAATATGTTTTATAAATGTTATTTATAACAACACAATGGTGAAATGGGAAACACTAGCCATTTATCATAAAATGAAGTAAATCTATCACAACCTTTAACCAGGCTAAAAACAAACCGAAGGGTATATGGAAAACAGGATCAAATACAGCTATACGAAATTGTAACCTATCTGATGAAATATTTAATGTATTTTACTTTACTCATTATACATATACATACACACACACACACACACACACACACACACACACACACACACACACACACACACACACACACACACACACACACATATATATATATAATAATTATATATATATATTATATTATATTTTTTTTTTTTTTTTTTTTTTTTTTTCTTTTTTTTTTTTTTAACTGCAAACTTTGTCCATTGAACCAAATTATATATAGGAACTACTTTTCAGAACATTAACATTGTGTGTCTATGTACGTGTATTTGAATTATCCCTGTATTATCATTATTATGGAAACCAAGAATGTTTTCGCAATAATACTGATTGCTCCGTTCACATCGCGTGCATCACAACTAAGCAAATAAACAAGCGACTTAGTGATACACGCTTCCCTCGTTCCTCGTATTGTTTCAGTGCTAAATGGAACGCCGAAAACTTCCCCGCGTTGCTGCTGAGACTTAATATCTGCTATTTGGCTTAAATTCGCCGCTTTCACGCTTATTAAGCACACGGTATCTTTGTTCCCTACAGATAAATTGGTAAACTTAGAACCGAAAACCAAATTATGAAACTCACGGTTATTTTCGTGGTGGTATTAATAGCTACGGGGGTGGAAGGCCAGGCTCTGGACGTGGATCGGCGAATCGTGGCAGCCGAGCTGGACTCTCCTCGCAAGGTGGAGTATTACGCGTCGTGCGCCTCCGGCCAGGGAAGCTGCGATACAAGAGGCCTTCAGCTGCGCACATACATTCCCATTGTCGCAAGAGGCCAAAGGTGCTTCAGGTGTTCGCCGCGAGAGAACAGGAACCTTCGCCTGATGGTCTCCACTCTGCAACGTCGCTATCCTCGCTGTTGGCAGATCCTTGTGCTGGCGGCGCAGGACCTGCCCACTCCTTCGGCTCGCGGATGCGCTAGCTAAGTGTGTAATGTCTCTGGGTACTTCAATAAATGCGATTTTGTTAAACCAATGTTTTACTTCCAAGAAACGAAGCAAATCCTTGTGGCTATGGCGCAGGATCTGCCCACTCATCCTGCTCGTGGCCATGCTTATTAGGTTTCTTTTCCGAATGAACATTGTAAAAATAAGGTTTGAAATCGCCTTCAACTGTGACAATAAATACATGTATCATTGGTATCTATAATATTTGTATCTTTCTCCTTCTACACACACATACATGTGTCTGTGAGTGTGCATATGTAAAATTCTAGGAAACTTCTCTGCCAGTGTCGCATGATACCGTGTTACAAAATCTGAACGTCTTGGTTTAGGCCCCGGTAACACTTTATCAAAAACTAAGCTCTAATTCCCGAGTATAAAAAGCACCAACTGTGCTGAAAATTGCACAAAATTCAATCACATGCTACTATTACCAATCATTAATGTTCCTGATAGCAGAATTGTATCTGCTTAATGGATTGTGATCTTCTTTTATTCACGTTTTTGAAGGAAGACTGAGTCAAGGATCGGATTCGAGTGCATAATGACTGAATAATTACAGATGGGTGTTTAGCGAAATACTAATGAAATTAATTTTATCACTATTATCATTGCTATTGAGACGATTAGTAGATGGTTTGTATGATTACTTCCGAATATTAAAAGATTCTGAGCACAACCTCTCCCGAATAAGATTTTAGATACAGAAAAATAGATAGAATAGGGTTTCTCATGATACTTTGTCCAGCTCCATAAGTGGATAATTTTCCGTGCCTGATTTTCTGTAAATGTAGCAGGAAAAATACGACTTTAACAATATATATGGTTTTACTTTTAATAATCCAGTTTTGTGAATGGTGAGGTTTCTACCATTATACCAGTGTATAGAGTGTTTGGCATACATCTAGAACTGAAGCTTGGATGTAAACTTCAATTCGTCTTCCGTCTCATTTTTAGAGTGCCTCGCAATATTTCTCCCTTCATTTTTATTAATCTACTGACTGAGGTATACTGATTAGCTTATCACCACTACAATTCGACAGATGTATAAAAAAGGAGTTAGATTTCCTGGACCACGGTATTTGGAGTTCAAATGACTTCTGACCCAAAATCGAAAGGAGACCAAGAAGAACAAAACGATGTTTGATCTTTTCAAATGGAGAAATACAGATATCCCTTTCCGCATAATTTCACTAAAGGTTTCCGATAACATCATGCAACTAGCTATCACAGTCGCGAGCCAAAGGAATAAGCGAATCCGCTCTCTCACACGCACGCGCTCGCACGCTTATATAAATATATAGAGAGAAATCTGATTAAATGCTCCCCAGTTCATACACATCAAACGACGATCACACGAAGGAGATAGTATAAGTATAAAGAAGACAAATCTTGAGAGGCAAAGATTAGGTGTAATTTGATGTATTGACTACAGGAAAATAAAAGGACTTACACTTTGCCCTATAGTAGATTTTGAGTTTTCCTAGAGATCGGTGGTCTTGAAGGGGAACGTCGGAATCTCCACAGAAAACCCAGGGGGCAAAAACCACAGCGATTGGTGTTCCAAGTAATCTTTTGCCGGGACAATATTGAAGTACGTATGTATCCATAATGTCTTCATTTAAGTAGTGCAACATATGGTCGAATATAATGGCGACCTTCCACACATTTTTACTTATATACGCGTATATAAATCTATTTCATAAACGCGCGCGCACACACACACACACACACACACACACAATAAACACACACACACACACACACTATTGTGAATCATCCATTATTTATGGGAATTTGAAACGATAACATGAAAAATGGTACATTTAATGATTATCGGATCAAAATTGCCACGTATGAAAGTGTATTTTCTAGTGATATATCTGAAACTGAAATTCTAATGATCATAGTTATATATGTTTACATATTTCTACATGTACGCGTGTAAGCTCTAGAGACCGTTATTACTAATATATCAATATACAGGTATTATTACTAATAATGGTAATGATGGGAGTCGTAATGGTATTTTTTGTTGCAGCGCTATTAGTATTTTATAGGTTAATCACCTATTCATTAACGAACCCATGCCCAAAGTTACTGATTATTTACATGTGTGTTTAACTGTTGAACTAAACTTGATGCAATTAATTTTGCCTTTTTTGGAAACTCCAGCAATATCATTTCATGAGGGTATTTGGAACAGTATATACATTCACAACACACACACACACACACACACACACACACACACACACACACACACAAAACACACACACACACACACACACACACACACATCACACGCATACACACATATGCACGCACGCGCGCACGGACACACATACACATACACGCACACATGCACGCACGCGCACACGGACACACATATACATACACACATACACACACACATACACGCACAAACACACACCACACACACACACACATACACATGCATGCACGCGCGCACGGACACACATACACACACACACACACACACACACACACACACACACACACACACACACCACACACACACACACACACACACACACATACATGCACGCACGCACGCAACACACATGTACGCACGGACACACACATACACACGACGGGCACGCACTAATTGAATATAGACATGCATATCGATAGATACATGAAAGATAGATAGATAGACATAGAAATAGATGAACATATAGTCAGAGAGATAAATACATAGATATATGCATAGATAGACCGGCAGTAAGACAGATAGATAGACAGAGAGATAGACTGATAGATAGATAGACAGAGAGATAGATAGACAGATAGACAGACAGAGAAAAAGAGATATGAATAGAGAGGTAAACAAATATCTAACTAGATTGCTGGATAGCTAAACAGATAGACAAACCGATAGATGGACTGATTGGAGGACATGGGTTGAATATTCACTTTTTTAGGATTAAAGAAATTCGAATATTGCTGAAACTGAAATGATCCAATTATCCTTAAATAGGTAATCTTACAGTGTCAATTTCACGTCTGGCCGCCCGCAATTTGCATGGAAACTCTCCGTGATTTTCCCACTACGTGACTTCCGGCTGATCCTTCCGATAAAAGCCAATCATGATCGCCATGTTTAATCAGCATTTCGCATGACTCCTGACAGGCGTGGCAATCGTGTCACGTCTGCAGGAGAGATTCCCGGATTCTGCTCGTGGTGCACCGTCCT